CATCCTTACTTACCTAGAATCTAATCCCCTAGTAAATCCAATGTAGCAGATAGTTGAACACAGTATGAAAGCTATCCCAAAACAGCCTAGCAGTACCCAAACAGGTATAGTATAGAAATAATACGGAGTAGATATAAATATATTTTGAAAAGAAAAGAAAAAAAAAAAAAAAAAAAAAAAAAAAAAAAAAAAAAAAAAAAAAAAAATAATAATAATAATATAAAACATGAAACAGCGACGATCAACCAAAAGCAGATTACAAACAAAACATATACAAAAAGAATGAAGTGGTATGAATGAAAAAAAGTATCTCCGATGCGGGGAATCGAACCCCGAGCTGCTGTGTGAGAGACAGCGATGTTAGCCATTACACCACATCGGACTTTGTTGAAATTCTGTTGTTCGGAGCAAGTTATATTGGACTGGAGGAGGGTTTGTGGTGTGGTTCGAGTGGAGACGGTTACGGTTCCAGTTTGGTGGATGGTGGTGGTGGTGGGGCACAGGGTAGGGCGGGAGGTGAGGTGAGGTCATTTGTCTTCTGTTTCTCTTTCAGAGTGTTATCTGTTTACTGTTCATCCTAGAGAGCTTTATTGTTTATTGTTTATAGTTTTATAGTGTATGTGTTGATTGGAAGGGATTGTTGTTTGGTACTTCGCATGGGAGTATGGTCTTGATTTAGTTATACAGGTTGGGAATATCATATATCTACTAGTAGTAGTCGCTTCAGTCTTTGTACATAAGTAAATAGCACCACCAGTAGTGTCGGGAACAACTGATAGTACTAGTAGTAAATAAAGACATCAAATCTCATCCACCATCAGTTGCTGCTTTTCGAGCCGTTTCAATAGGAAATGTGTAGGGGGCAAAGAACACCCACCCAGCCCACAAGAACTGAAAGATCTGGTTGCGAAGTAGGGTAGTGACACTCCCCAGTAGACCAACCCCAGCTTTGGGCTGCCACACTGTCCAAGCCACCTCTGAACCCTGTTCTCTTTCATCACGGGCCCATTATGGACCTCAAATCAAGGAGGTCAAGACACCTGGACAATTCCAAAGCTTCTGCGCATGTCTCCATGACCTTAGGTCATTGGCGCCAGCGAGTGACGTTGGAGGTTGAAATATGGCGTTGATGTTGATTGATTGAGCATTATGACAGGCCCAAGTCCGTCGGTTTTATTATATATTTGAGTTTTCAGGACTGAGCATGATGAGTATTGATTCGAGCATCAGATCCTCAACAGCATCCGCTACGAATAATCAACCATTCATCTTCATATGAAGGAGTAAAAGACCGTATACTGGGTCTGTCCTGTATTGATAGACAGCTAACAGACTGCCAGCATGAGGCACCGCAGAAGGATCTCGACAGCAACCAGCTGCCAGCGAAGCACTTTTCCGTGGTACTTTCCTTTCATACTGCGATGGTCTGTATCTGTTATTCCAGACTTCTTCACTCAGGTTTGGCACTGGTATTCCACAGCATCTAGCCCACTTTCTTTGGTATCTAGATGCTGCAGGCTTGTAGCGTCGGCCGAATGAGCTCGTCAGACTTATCACCGGCTTCGCAGTCACCTTCGAGGGTTTCGGTCAATTAGTTGACATGGAAGTCGTAGAACGCTCAAATAGTGGCGTTATTTAACGATTATTTGTAAGATGATGAGAGGAAGGACGAAAACATTCCCAAGTTCCTGACAATAGATCTCTCGGAATACCCAGCCCGTCCGGAGAGAGTTTCGCACGGCCACAGCGTAGCTCTAGGCTGAGTATTCTGCGCAGGATTGTCTCCTCCATCGTATGACACTGCGTTGTTTTCATCTCGACTCGTGATGTAGCAAGTGGTTGAGTTCAACGTGATTGCTGTTTGCGTAGAAGTCAGATCTTTGAGCTCACTGACAGCTACCAATAGATCGAAATTGAGCCGGGCGATCAATCTTCGATATGGCACCTATGAGACCACATGTCTCGAACCATATGTCCTTCCAGAAATTTGTATACTGTTTTGCAGACAATGACCAGAGAGCAAAGCGTGACCATCGAGTGCCTGTGTATCATAGTAATTCGACGTACTAGCTGTGCCAGGGCCGGGCTCCATAGAACCGGCGTATCCGGGTGGCGAGAGACAACGGCAGCAGGCCCAGTGTACTGGCTGACTTGTCACCTATATTGTCAGTTTGTTGCTTTCTGCTGTGCTGTTGATCGGCTGTTCATCTGCTAGTGTATAAGCTTCCCATACAGATTCATTTGGCCGATAGTAGGTACTATAAAAGCACCTACTGCTCGTTCTCAGCATTCGTATGACTAGAAATAGTTTACACCGGGGTGCATGGCTGTTCTGATCGAGGAATGCTTGACTAGCATCTTATATGTCTTCAGTCGCTGCTTCCATGTCGCCTTGTATGTGAGAGTATTGAACATATTGTGGTGACTCATCCGAACGAGGA